GGAAACACAGTCTCTCCCTATTCACTATCACCTGTCAGTAGTAACAGGTAATTAAATTTTCCAGCTAAATGTGAAAGTGCCATTTCTTAATATGGGGAGAAAAATTTACTGTGTTGCTTAAATGTTATTGCGCTTTACAGTCAGAAACTTCTTCGATCTCCACGAAAACCAACACGCAAGATTTCTAAAATACCTTTCAAAGTTCTGGACGCTCCAGAGCTTCAAGATGATTTCTACCTCAACCTAGTGGACTGGTCCTCTCTGAATGTGCTCAGTGTGGGACTGGGTACCTGTGTCTACTTGTGGAGTGCCTGTACCAGCCAGGTGTGTGTGAGACATGTTAGCTGAGAAAACCTCTTGGATAGTGTGTCATACTTAATGAAAAAGACATAATTGAACGACCTCCTGGGACATTCGCATTAATCTGTCTCCTTTGTCTGGCACTTTTCGAAACTTTAGGTGACTCGTCTTTGTGACCTTTCTGTAGAAGGAGACTCTGTGACGTCAGTGGGCTGGTCAGAGAGGGTGTGTTTTTCTTTCATTGATTCTTGTCTTTGCAAGTTCTCGTCCAGGACTTTAAACAATGCTGTAATAAAGCCTGCACAGCTGGCCTTTTTTTACAGTTTCTGAAAGCAGAAAATCTGCCAGAAACTGAGTGTTCAGAGCACTCTACAGCCTGAGGTTTGGGCTCATAGTTATTGTTTTTTTTTAAAAAAAATATTACTTTAATTATCGATTCTTTGGATATGTTTATGCAAGGTTGAGAATTCACCATCACAACGGTATATATGAAATATATGACAGAAAGTAAGGAAAAGCATAATTGATTCACTTTGAAGGTCTGCCATGAAACAAGACTGTGTCTGGATATTTCAAAGAAATTCAAGCTGATTTATGATTTCAGGCTTTTAACCTATGCTGTAACTAAGAAAAGTTTTGAGGGTATTTGCACTTGCTCCTGTCTACTTGCCAGTATCATCTTCAAAGTGTGGTGTCTATTTTTAGGGTAACCTGGTAGCTGTAGGCACCCACAAAGGCTATGTACAAATCTGGGATGCAGCAGCAGGGAAGAAGCTCTCTGTGCTAGAAGGACACACAGCCAGAGTGGGTAAGTTGAAAGTCTATGGAAATGAAGGCAGAGACAGTCATTCAAGCTTCATTTATTTTCACGCAGTTGTTTAGCAACATCTCTCATTCATGATCGGTGAATCATCTCCCCTGGTCGTCATTCCCTGCTTCTAGGTGCTCTAGCATGGAATGCCGACCAGCTGTCGTCTGGGAGTCGTGATCGGGTGATCCTGCAGCGGGACATCAGGGCACCGCCTCTCCAGTCAGAACGTCGGCTCCAAGGACACAGACAGGAAGTCTGCGGGCTCAAGTGGAGCACAGACCACCAGCTTCTAGCCTCAGGTGGAAATGATAACAAGGTATGCAGAGAATCTCGCCCATGCCTTTGTCTGTGCCACATTTTTATTGGGGTCCCTTTTTTATAAAAAACGTCAAAAAATTTTCTGTCCTCCTGTTATTGCAACCTGCTGTCTGCAGTTACTCGTGTGGAACCACTCAAGTGTCCTCCCAGTGCAGCAGTACACGGAGCACTTAGCTGCAGTGAAGGCCATCGCCTGGTCTCCTCACCAACACGGCCTGTTGGCCTCTGGAGGAGGCACTGCCGATCGCTGCATCCGCTTTTGGAACACTCTGACTGGCCAGCCTCTGCAGTGCACCGACACCGGCTCTCAGGTCTGCAACCTGGCCTGGTCCAAGCACACTAACGAACTGGTGAGACACCCCATGTCTTTGACTGCACTCTGCTCCTGTGAAATAGAATATATGCATCTGCTTTTAAATACGGACATACACCAAGGTTAATTTTAGGGCTGTTGGTGAGGGTTTTTTTGCTATTCAGTAGCATTCAACTCAGTTTTTATTTATTTATTTTTCTTTTTTGTGCGTGTGTTTTTGGCTGGAAAATACGATGGAAGCAGTGATGTGGAATTGTTGATTTTTATCCGATGGTAGACAAACCTGCCAGCTAAATAAGTGGAAAAAACTGTTTCTCCTCTCTAGGTCAGCACGCACGGTTATTCCCAGAACCAGATCCTCGTGTGGAAGTATCCGTCTCTAACTCAAGTGGCCAAGCTTACGGGACATTCCTATAGAGTACTTTACCTGGTCAGTATATATTTTTTTCCTTTATAACTAAATTAAAGATAATCTTAACTTAAAAGAAAACTGTAAAGCAGAAATAAATAGTCACAGAAAAAAAAGTGTAAGGAAATGATCCTATAAAACTAGACTCACTGACTGACCCTTTAAGAAGTGTCGCTGTTAGATATCCAAGGGTAAAAGGGTGACACTGACACAGAGCTTCTCCAAAATAAAAAAATGAGTGAAACTAGGGCTGCACGATTAATCGTTAGAAAATCGCAATCTCGATTCATACTTATGTGCGATCTCATTTCCAAATGACGACGATTGTACCGCATTTTGATCCGGGACGTAATCTGCATGAAAACAAGCGCTCACTCTTCCTGCTCAACAAATGAC